CCCCCCCGCTGGTTCCGTCACCCCAGTTCACGTCCTTCTCAAAATCCCGCCACTCGAGAGTTCTAGTCCAAAATTAACTGCTTAGCTGAGAAGTGAGGTGCCCGCGATTGCACGGTGACGTGGTGCAGCACTCGGATCATTCTGGCGAGAGACCGGGCTTAGGGCGGTGTGGCTCATGGGCAGGTCTTGGGTACAGTTACCTTCTGTGCACAAACGTGCGCACAATTTCCCAGCACTGCGCATGGAAATGATTAATAGTTTTACAACCGTTTATCTTCTGTTTTGTTCTAAACTGATTTACCTTTTGCACTTTTCTATACAGTATATTGAGCGTCAGAAGAAACGTACTGTAGCCCTCCGTTTACACACGTGTTTCTAGCTCAGCGCAGTCTGATTGAATGTACTCGAGCACTGAGCCTCAGCACTAACCCACCCCAGGAGCGAGAGACCTGACTGAGGGCGCGGTTTGGGGTGAGCTGATCTAACGGGCTGGATATCAGCCCTGGAGTAAATCAAGAACACGGGCACAGACCTTTCCTGCCTGTCGTTCTGTACCTGAACACCAGCAGGGATTTCTAACCTGGCAAGGAGCTCCAGCTGCGGCAGGTCTGCTTGATAAGGTGCCGGTGCACCTGCCACAGGAATGAGAGGCCTGATAATGTATCGGTTTGAGGCAGTTATTAGTGGGGTCTTGTGGCATACAAAAGGGAGAGATAAGGAGCAACTATTCTTACGGTTCTTGTGAAAGACACTTTCCCTGAAAGGCATGATGTGATGATGAATGAGCATGTCCCATGAGCCTGTGTTGTTTCAAATGACCTCTTATGGCAGCCACAGGTTCGTGAAGCTGGTGGTGTAGATCTCAGGGTTCTGTTCATGAGGAGGCTGTGAAGCTGCAGAAGATGGGTGGTCTTTGTAGCCTACATTTCACACCTGTGTGTCACGGTAAATTGGATTGTTTCGACTAATCAAAGTTATGTGCTTTGATTTTGTATTTTTGGCACGGTGTTGGAAACTGTCCAAATTGGAGGAGAGATATTATCAGCTCCCCCCACTGTGCTTGATCGCGGTCAGGCTGTGCGAGATTAGATTTACACTCGCCAGACCGACCATGAAGGGCAAACTGTCTCATTGTGCTTTGGAAGCTCTCCAGGCTGAGAGCTTCACACACCTCCACTCATTGTTTTTAAAATCCGGTAGGATCCCTCTGAAAAACACATGACCCTCTGACGGACTGGACTTGTGAATTTCGGCATGTGCTTCAGCACATGCTTCAGGACTGGCCCGAATTGCTCATTTTCCAGGAAAACCGGATTTTTGCGCAGTTTGTTGCTGGATGTTTTGATGGAGCCATGCCGGATATCAAGCCTCTGCCTGGTCCAAGCCGTTCTGTTCCGAGCTGGTCCGGGTTTTACGAGCTGCGGGCTCTGCGGACTGTTTTGTGACGTGTGTAGCTGGTTCCCATCCAGACTTTTCTAAACTGGCCTAGACGGGCAGCCTGTGCAAACCTCAAGGCCTTCTGAGCTCTCAATTTTCAATTCAATTCAAGGTGCTTTATTAGCATGACCGATGGGTACAATCAGTGTTGCCAAAGCAAATAAAAATAATAAAATTAACATAGAACAAAACAAAATAGAAGTAAAATAAAATCTACAGACATGTTACAGACATTTACAACAAAGACATATTATATAATATTGACTCGCCTGTTCTCCCTCTCTGTCTCAGGGTCCAGCCTGTTGAGTACACCACCGACTGCCAGGACCAGAGGTGAGCTGGGGGGGCGTGGGCGTGGTGGGGGGGGTCAGTAGTGAATCTCAACACGGATCCTGGGGAAACGCTGTGTCTCGTTCCCACTTGCCTGGGCCAGTCCCTCTCTCGTAGCTGATGGAGATGTTTCTACAGCTCATGAGAGCTTGAACAAGGTCTTCAGTCAGAATCGGCTCGGTCTGAAAGCCTCTGCTCCTGCAGGTGTGTGGGGAAGTGACTGGACGTCCCCAGCTC